CAGAGCTCACCCCTTTTGGTAACCTTTTTAAAGGTATCACAGCAAGAGTATTTTGGTAGCTATGTCTAAAAGGCCAGGAACTTTTGAGCTTATTTTGAACTACAGTGTCAGACATCTTAGATTAAAAAAAAGTACGAATAACCTGCAGCTTGTGACAGCCTGAGGAATATACCTGTGTGGCTGTACATCGCACTGAACTCCACTAACACTGCGATAATAAACCTCAATGACAATTAAAGCTTCCACTTTGTGGCAACTTTGCTGTCTTTCCCCGTGTTCCCCATACTCCCAGCAAATCTGAGGTAAAGCAACCAAGGACTTGCTGAAACTGAATTGTCTTCTACTTGGCTCTCTGGAAGAGAGTCCTACAAGCCAAGGAGGCCACAGCAGTTGAAAGCTTCAAGGAGCACCACAGAAGGAAGGCAGACCAACACCGAGCCAGATCCAGCATGTTCATGGTTACCCACATAGAGGCAGGTAGAGGGAGGACGTTATTCCTGTCTTTGCTTGGCTAACCTGTGTGTTCCTTGGCATTCCTTGGCCTACTTGATGACCTCTTGTGCAAGGTACATGGTACAGAGTTGTTTTGCTAAGATGGAGCCGTATTTTAGTAGCACCCTAGATGAAGCCACCAGCTTATTTCATAATAAGTGTCAGGTGACAGTTTATAAAGGACCAACTGAAACTAGTACAGAAGCAGTTATGTTATGTCTCCCATTGTAATGTGGTCTTCATAGAGCAAGTCTGCTTTATGGAATGATAAGGGTAGTCTATAGATTAATGTTTGACTCCTAATGATTCAAACGAAAGTAGCAGCCAGAGTTACAGACAGGTATTAGTTTAGCAGGTGTCTAGGAATTACTAGTGAGCTTCATGTCCCATTCCCTCTCTGTACACTGGGATCCTTCCCATGTGAAGAGACCCAAGATTCTGCTTTCAGAAAGAGCTCTCACTTCAGACCACAGCAGTAAGCTAGTGGCCTCGACTGGAGTAAGGCTGGTTCAGGAAACTCCTGGTAGGTACATCTATTAGCACTTCCAACAGTGTCAAAAAAGGTGGGAGAAAAAGAAGATTAAAAAAAATATTCTACTGGACCACAATCACTTTTCATGACACTTCCTTTTCCCACTGGTTGGTAATAGTTTGGTAAATTTATTAAGTAAGTGTAGATATGTAAAGTTTAAACTAGTTAGACACACTTGTTTCTCAGTGAAAAAGATTCTTTTAATTAATTATAGTTTTCCTGTATGCTGGCTATGCATTCTTTAGTAGCAAAATGAATGTTAGCATTGTCATGCATCTATCCAAGATATCCATACTGCAATCAGGAATTAGTTTATCTGCTAATGCCTTTGGGAAAAGTGAGAGTGTGTGCAAAAGCTACCCCACAGCCAAATTTGACATTAGACTTGAATTTCAAGTCTTGGTATTTAGAAGAGCAGACAATGAAACACTCAAGTTGCCCCAACACACAATGTGAATTTACCACCAAACTCTTCAAGATACAAGATGTGTTCATATTGAATTTGATCTGTATAGTAAAACACATTATTCTTTATTTGAACAACATGACGGGGTAAAAAACTTCTTTACTGAAGCATCTTTTGACTTGTCAGATCTCCTTGCCTTGTGAACCCCAGATCATCTCTTGATGTTACGGATCAGCTTGCCTGTTAGGCTTTCACTAGTTCCATTGGTAAACAGCCTTGGAATTAAAGTGAGCAGCCTCTTGGCATCCTCTTCCTGCCTGGGCTGCTGCTGGGTACCCCCTGGCCCTCCTCTAGCTTCTGTGCTTGTAAAGGTCAGCAGCAGTCCTGTAGATTAATTAATTGAATTCTCCTGCCTTTGCAGAGACGTGGGGGAAATAAACTGCACCTATTTTCAAACCATCCATTTCTACCTGACTGAGCAACCATGAAGGCTGACATTAACCCTTCCAACTGGCCTACCACCGCCACCGTCCTTGCAAACAGTGGGTGCCACATGCCTCAGGCCTCCGACCATTCCCTGTCCTATAGGGGTGGCCAGAACACAGAAAGCAGAGGCTTGGGAAAGGAGTTATGGGTCAGAGGAAATAAATGACAGATGTTTCCAAAAAGCACTAATGAGAAATTTAGATATCTAAGTGGAAAATTGTGATCAGAAATAGAGAAGTGATCTTAGTTCTCTATAAACTATTAGTGAGTCAGACACCACAGTGCTTTGGTACCATGCTAGTATCCCTTTTGCAAGGCATCTTCAGAAATATGAGACAGTGGTTCCAGTTCTGGATAAGGTTTTCAAAGTTCGCGCATTAGGGAGTGTAGATGTAAAGGAGACAGCCTACTTATCAGGAACAAGACAGATCAAGATGCCAACCAGTTTACAGTGTAGTGAAATTAAAAGAGAAAAGTTCTAGCAAACATGTAGCTAGAACTACTGTTGGGAGCTGAAGCTTTCATGTTAGAAATAAAGCCCAAGTTTTAGCAGGCAAATAGTGAACTTGGCAAAAAAAAAGCAAAAAACCCAGAGAAGGGGTGTGTTGTCATCTCTCAGATCACGACGCATGCCATAAAATGGAAGCTGATCATCTTCACACAGAAAAGCCTGACCAGGAGAGGTATCTTTAAATCACCCTTGGTTGGTTGGTCAGTTTACTGCTAATACAGATCTCGCCTTCTCAAAGATCTCAGGGATCAGTTCAGCCATGGTGAAGCAGACGGACGGAGCACTGTAGCTTCTCCAGCCGGAAACTCTTTCCATATGGATCACTATTAGCAGAACTGCACTGCAGTCCACAGCTGGGTAATTCCTAGAGACAGACCATTTAGTTTTAACATTCTTATATCATGAAATCAATTTCAGAATAAAAAGTAAAATGGAAAAAGCTATTCACATTAAAAAACATATTCAAGAGATGCATACATGTTTTTTCTCCAGAAAACAGACTGCATGTTTTATTGCCACATTTTAAAACTTACCACTGAGTTATTTTTATTAGTGAAACAGCACTTGTCCCATCTTCACACATTTTATTCGTGCTCTGGCGGTGGCACCCTCTCTCCACCACCCAGTCGTGCGGAGGAAAGCTCTTGCCAGATTTGCTTCTCAGCCAAATCCCCCAACAGTATTTTTTTCCCCTTTCTTTTTTCCACTGGCTCTCACAGAGTCAGACAGAGTTCATCTCCCGGCTCCGCTGCAGCTCACCAGCAAGTGCCCCTGCGCACGGGCCACCCCGGGAGGCGGCACTGGCTGCGCTGCAGCCCCAGGGGCCCCGGCTCTTCTCGGGGGCTCCAGCTCTTCTCGAGGGCTGGAGACCGCCCCGCCCTGGCTGGGTTGGTGCAACTGGGTGCCGGCTTGTCTTCGGCAGCCCGGTATCTGCTAGTACCCCCCGTGCTCTGCTGGGGCCTCGCAGCCGGGCCAGCTGCTGGGGACCCGTCGGCGCCGCGGCACCGGCGTTCCGGGCTGGGCTGGGTTAGGGTGGGGATCGCTGCCGGGCAGTAAAAGCAAAGCGGGTTCCCAGATACGAGGCCACTGGGCGAGTCCTGGCCTGGGCGGGATCCCAGGGGCTGTCCCTCTCCTTGCACTCGGGATGAAGCGAGGGTTTAAGAAGAACCCTTTGCGCTCTGAGCTCATCTGCAGGAGGCTGTATCCACTGACAAACCAGACCCGATATTATGCCTCCCTTTTTTTTTTCTTTTAGTGGATATCGCTTAATATTGGACATCTCCAATTGCAGAGGTAGCGATCAAAGGTCATATGCGACGCATCTTCCGCCCCTCCCCCCCCCCCCCATCAGCCTCTTTGCTAATTAATAAAGGCGCAATTAGGCCATTATTAATGATGGGAGCCGCGGTTACGTTCTTCCTGATAGTAACGGAGATTAAAAATAATGCTGCTGAGCCCATCTCCTTTTGATGACTCAGTCGAGATTCTGCGACGTGCGTTTTCAATCTTTGCCAGAAATCCAAGCTCTGCCAAGAAGTCAGAAGAGCTACGGTGCTGTATTTGCTTTTGGTTTTTATTATCAACAATCAATTAATGGTACACTCTTGGAAAACTATATGCACATGTAGAAATATTTCCCCTTTTAAATAGAAGCATTCATTTTAACCACATATAAATAAATCTGAAAACCCTGAACATAATTTATGACGATTATGCTCACGAACATATTCCAACAGGTAGGGAGGAAAAAAAAAAAGAGACGACATGCGATCGATAACAAAAATATGTATCATTGCCTGAACCTGGTCTCTCTAAACGTAAATGTAACCGAACCCGTGAGAACCTTATTTCTCCATAAAGACACGCCATAGAGACTACGAGAAGGGAAAACATTATTTATACGGTCAACTAGACAAGTCTGTACTGGTATTAACACTATACAGTTGAGTCACAGAACACAGTTGTAGAAAGACACGGAAAAAGAGAAAGCATAGCTGGCAACATTCAACTAAGAGCTATAGTTTGTGCCTTTTAAAATAAAATTAGAAAACCCTAACGGAGATGCCTAAAAACTGCGTGAACCGGGTAATAATAATAATAATTAATTAATAATAAATACAAGCCGTCAGCCACGAGGGGCGCGGGCCCTGCAGGGGCCGGATCCGCGGTCCGGAGGAGGAGGCGGCCGCCGGGCCAGGGCCAAGTCCGGCGGGGCCCCGACGGCGGCAACGGGGAGACCCGATACCCAACCGAGGGACAGTGGCACCGGACGGCGGAGTAAGAAACGGGCGCAGAGCTGGGGGACGGCAGGAGTGGGCCGGAGGTGGGGAAGGGGGCGGAGAAGACACTTTCTCTCTCGGGCTGACCGTGAAAAGGAGCTTAAAAAAAAACCCAGGGCCGGGCTGGGCTGGGCTGGGCTCCCTCCCCCACGGCTGGGCTGCCCCCGGGAACAGTCTCCGCGGCCCTGCGCTGCCTCGGCGCCTTCTCAGTGCCCCCTGCGCGGCCAACCCCCCCCTCCCCGCCGCAGCGGAGGCCCAGCGGGGCCGGCCCCGCCGGGGGCCGGGCCGGGGCCG